AACCATCAGATGGATCCATTAAGTCTGGGTGTAATGATGTGTCTATGGAATGTTTCCCTGGCTTCCACAACAATTAATGTAAAAAAAAATGTCTACCACGTTTTGTCCTGAATGTTATGAAAATAAACTGACATGATCATTTTTAAAGAAATAAATGCAAGAAATTCAGGAAATACCTACAATACTGTACAGTACATGGTCAATATGAAGTTTATTGTCAAGAGCAGCAGTGTTCCACTTATGGCATAGTAATTGTATTCCAAATTAGAATTAACCAGAGCATTGTCCTATTGATTCTATTAATTTCTGTATTTTACTAATCATACATTCTGTGGTGTTTATTTATCATTAAGAATACAGAGCACATTTTTGGTCACCATTCAAAACAATTTGAATTGTGTTGGTGCTCTGGAATCAACAGAGAGAAGAAGAACCAGCTAAATCCCCAGACTTAAATGCAATATTCTTCAGTGACATCTTAAAAAACAATCTCTTTAGTCCTGAACAGCCCACCATCTTGAGTAAAACAAATTTATAAAAGTTTATAACACCTACTGTATACAGGTTTGATCATTCTGAATGAGGTACATAAAGAACATAAATTTCCCTGTGAACAATTTCGTGGTTTAGAAATAGACAACATTTGAATAAAATGAGGAATTACTAAACATAAATAAAAAAAAAATCTACATCATAATCCATCCATCCATTTTCTAACCATCCAAACCTGGGTCACAGGGGAGCTGGAGCCAGGTACAGGGTCCATCGCAGGGCACACACAGACACAAACTCAAACTAGGCTTAATTTTCCCAGGAGATAATTAGTTTCCAGTATGACTGTGAAAAGTGGAAGGCAACTGGAGCACCTAGCAAAAAACCCACATAAACACAGGGAAAGCAAACAAGCTCCATGCAGATTGCATGAATTGAGAATGAATCCAGGCCCCCAACACTGTTAGGCAGAAATGCTAAGCACCGTCCCATCATGTTGCCCTAACATAGTAATAAGTTACAATCTGTATAGTAGTAGAAAGTGCCAGCCCCAAAAACTACATCCAATCAATCACAATTACTCACATTGACAAATTCCAAATGCACTCAAAAGCAAACAACTCTTTATATAGGAGAGTAAGATTATGTTTCATAAGGTAATCCACTACAGCTAAGAACATTAGTCCATGATAATAATAATAATAATAATAATTGCTTACACTTATATAGCGCTTTTCTAGACACTCCACTCAAATCGCTTTACAGGTAGTGGGGACTCCCCTCCACCACCAACCAATGTGCAGCATCCACCTGGATGATGCGACGGCAGCCATAGTGCGCCAGAACGATCATCACACATCAGCTATCAGTGGGGAGGAGAGCAGAGTAATGTAGCCAATTCATAGAGGGGAATTATTAGGAGGCCATGATTTGTAAGGGCCGATGGTAAATTTGGCCAGGATGCCGGGGTTACACCCCTACTCTTTTAGAGAAGCGCGCTGGGATTTTTAATGACAACAGAGAGTCAGGACCTCGGTTTTACGTCTCATCCGAAGGACGGGTATAGGTGATAAAGGTGGTATAGATGATATAGGTAACTCTTTCTAAAGATTGCATAAACAATGCGGATAGGCATTGGGCATTTTTGCTGCCTGGGTCACAGGATGCAGAACTCCCTTCTGTATGTCAATTTAAGTACATACACAAAGGAGCAGAATAGTTATGATACCTTCCACATTATACCTGTGCCAAATAAAAGCCAAGGGAAGCACAATGGAATATGGACAATTTCGGGGGATAAAAGAAGGTTGTAGAACTATCATTATATGATTTTCATTTAGACAAGCCAAAAAGAAGAGCCTAACACTTTATGTAAAGCCAAGTTACAATTTCTAATCGAAGTCTGACACTTAGACTCTCTGCCAACATACATAAGTCAAAAGGGGTTTGCCAAAACTCCGGTCTTTTTCAGACTTGGAAAAGAATTGCAGGTTCTACTCTAGTCAAAGATATAGTAGTTGTCCAAAATCACAGTCCTGTAGGGACTTAATTTTAGGTCAACACTAAATCACTACTTTCAAAAGAATTAAACACTCTCATTGTGATCAATTAGGCAGGTGATGTGTTTAAGCAATTTAAAAATCACCAGGGGACCAAGATCTGAGAACACTTCAATTCTGTGTTCTCTGTTCAGATCTCTGAGTACACTTAATTTGTCAGGGTCCACAGCTCTTTTAATTGAACAGTTTCTACTTGCTTAATTCATAAATAACTTACAGATTTTCCATATTTTTACAAACAGCTGACCTTTAAGATTTAATGGACTGGATGTTTCCAGGAGCTTTTATGTACTGTACTTGTAAGACTGCTTAAATTGTGCAAGGTACAACAGTATCCCAAGGACTACACAAATTAAGCTTATATGGCAAGATAGAAAGAAGAAAGTCATAACTGAAAAAAAAGATGTGTCTCACTGGCAGGGCCTTGGCACTTTTCAGAATAGAAGGGACAATGAGTGGAGCATACTGTAGTACAGGACAGTCTTTGAGGAAAATTTGCTGCCCCCTGCAAGAAAGCTGAAACTTAATTGAGGTTCAACTTTCAGCATGTCAACGAACCAAAGCACACAGCCAAAATTATCAAAAAGATAAATGTCCTTGAGTGGCCTAGTCAGTGGCCCAGCCTATATCCAATCAAACCTTTGTGGCTTACTTGAAGATTGTTGCCTTTCATCATCCTTCAAGGAACTAAACATAGCTTGAACAGTTTTGTAAAGAAGAGCTGTCAAATATTGCACAATCTAGATGTACAATGTTCATGGAGACCTACAGTATCCCAACAGACTCAAAATTGCCAAAATCTGCTACCACTAAGTAATTAACTCACAGATGCATAGTTTTTTTCCAGATAATAATATTTCTGTTTTCTATTTTTAATATACTGTATCATGTTTTTTTAAAGTGTGATAGATAAAATGAATAAATAATAGAGGAAAAATAATGATAGAAATGCATGAAACTCTGAGGTGCTGACACAACAAAATGCAAAAAAGTTCAATTGAGTGTTTACTTTTTGTAGGCACTGTGTGTATAGAAATATGCATGCAAAGGTAAATCAGACTATAATCACACATTTTATTAATAAAACAGAAGTTGAGTGACATCCTCAAATTGTAAAATTGGAGGTTTTGATTTACTACATTTGTGGTCTTTATGTAATGGACAGGACTGACTAGAAGAGGAATCTTGCATAACAAGAGGATAAAAATGAAATTGGTGTAAAATAGACTGCATAGGGTTAAAGTAAAGATGACTTTATTGTACATGTGTAAATAAATTCATAGTAGAGCATTTTATGTAGTATGGTGCAATATTTAAAATAATCTAAAAGCAAAATGCATCTCAAAAGGTACTGCATGTTCTATTACGCGGCATAAGATGCAAAAAAATGTTAACAAGTATATAGGTAAATTGTACAAATTGAATAATAGTGTTTGTGTAATTTGTTCACAGTGCATTACCACAGAACCAACATGGAAATGAAGGACTAGAAAATTCAGAAAGGAGAACAGAAGGCACTTAATTATTAGACGTGATAAACCCTGAACCCTGTAGTTTTGTGCAGTTTTACCGAGGATCCCTCAAGCAACAGTTTTAAGATTCTTTGTCAATAAGGTACCACAATTTCGATGGACAATAGAAGAGTGATCTCTTTTCATCTTTCAACAACAAGTATCAAAAAATCTTTTTTTTTTCAGAGCAATGACAAATTTATTCTTGAGGATCATTGTCATAAAAAAGCTTTATGAAGAGAATGAAAAAGCAAGCCATACCCTTGTTTGCATTCATTGGTGAATAGCTGACTCAATGGCCCTCAGGGTACTACCCAATGGTCTCTTTGTACCCTCATTCACTGTGTTCTAAAAATCCCAAAGGAAACTTTTTTTTAAATGTAAGCTTTTGAAAATTCTTGTAGTTCTGTAGTGGTTATTTTCAAATGCTGAATAACAAACCCTTAGAATTTGCATTTCTGGCGAGACAACACTATAAATATTACAAAATGAGACTCTTGGGGATTCACTAAAGCACTGCTGTATTTTCTAAGCTGGCAAATCTGTTATTTTTCCTTTTGGTACCTGCTACCATGTCACAACAGCTTTAACTTTGAATTACCCATCCTGTGATCACCCAAAACAGCTGTGTACTCCACCTTTGACCAAGTGTGTTGTGTTGTCACAGTTCAAACTGTGCCAATGCCAAATCTATGCCTGAATCAGCTTGAATATATACCTTCTGACTCTGCAACTGTTATGCAGCTCAATACAACTATTCTTATACATATAAGACAATACTTTTCAGCAAAGGTTTTCTTTAATGTAAAGGTTCAGTTTAAATTTCCCTGAATTCCTGTTGCACAGTCTCAGATATGAATGATTCAAATATATATTAAAAAACATAGATTTTTTTATGATATAGCATCTACAAAGCAATTAATTGGAACATTTTCAAGCTTCTAATACATTCAGTATATAATTATTATTATCTTCAAAGGAGTGGGGTATCATGTGCATATGTACAGTCAAATTTAGAATATGCATTACATGATTGGTCACTGAAATATACACTGAGCACCACAGGGAACAGAATGGTAAACACATCCGATTGTCTCAACTTAAGTACAGATTCATTATCAGCTTTTGCAGTTGCATCTCAGAGGTCAGTGAATTTGAAGCAGCTATTTAAACCTTAAACCAGACATTTCCCCTAATTAAACCACTGTGCTGCTCATGGTTCGCTTTGCATTAGGTAATCTCTAGACTTATCTATATCTTACTATTAGAGAGTTTTACAGCGTTTTTGAATTAAAATAAAATATCAGCAACACTTTTACCTGTATTTCAATTACAAAGTAATTTCATATAACATAAAAACTCACCTAATGAGGACCCCAAACATGCTGAATATCATATTTCATTAAATAAATAAAAAAAATCTGTCAGTTTCACTTACCTTATAGAAACATGCATGTATTAAAAATATAAAGGATTGCAAGGCCTCGCTGTAACCATGGAAATGTTGCTATCTCTGTGCATTTCTGTAGAGTACAAAAAGAATGATACATTTAAGTGACTAACACGGCACTCACTGCAACCTGAGGGGGAGAATGTTAGTTTGAGAAGTTGCCATGGAAACTATAATATAGAACCACGAGGGAAGAACGGAATTTAGAAAAAAAAGGGAACCTAGCACCTACGGAGCTACCAGGGAAACTCCCACACTCTCAGATCTCTGCCAAGTGTTTAAAATCCAATCCAAAACATGCAGCAAGACTAAGGTATCTGTATAGCACGACCTGGTCCCTCACAGTAGGAGATGGACAGAAGATCAGAAAACACAATGGATTTTAAGCAAGAGATAAGATTTATATAACAATTTTCTTCATTGTATTTCTTCCGTGTATTTTGCAGATTGACGCATAAAATATGCCATGTTTTGTAGCATTGCAGTATATTTCCATGACTCTCCTTTGCATTTATTTAAACATTTTTAAGTTCTACAGATTTGAGCATTTTTGTCTTCTTCTACTGTACATGTGTAGATTGCAGGAAGAACAATATGCTGAAGAATAGCAAATAAAAAATGAAGTGTTTGCTTTTGTATCTGATGTTAATATATAATGTAATTGTTTGAGCATTGCATAACAGTTTTAATATGTAATAAGAATTTTTAGAAACATGTCTATTTTCAAAATTAAATTTAAAGATATCTGCAGTAATGTCCATGCTGATTCATATCCAAAGATCTTACAGTGTGACCTTGACTTCTTTTGTAACAGACCCCTTTCCTAGATGAGAGAGCTGCCTCTTGACTCCAACATGTTTAAATTCCTCAAGGGGTAAAGGCTAAATTGTTTAATCTGTTTCTTTGAGAGCATAGTCAGGTTTTATTGTGACAGACGAATCACCATGACAACATTACTTGGGTCAGTGACTTACAGTATGCTTCATGATAAATATCAAATTAATGTTTCTACAGCTAAAAAATTACATTTTTACGCTAAAACTAATTTTGCTGGGTACAATGGGAACTGCTTAGAATAAAAGGAAGTCTATGCTATCAGAGCCAGACAGGAAACACCTTGGTAAAGCCTGGATGTGCTTCCCTTATTTACAAAGCAGTAACCTGGAGCCACGGCATCTCTCAGGAACCCCAGCACTTACTGTAGAGGAGACACCTCCCAGCTCTCCAAGATAAGAACAATGTTTGTTTAAGACTGACAGAAATCTGCCACAATAGAACTGCTCGGCCACAATGCTGGCACAACCAGCTACATTTCTGCAAGTTTCCCCATTTATCATGAATTCAAGAGTAATTTTATTTTAAGTTTTACTTCAGCCATGGCTAACCTGCCAAGGGTATGGCCTACAAAGTACTGAAAATGTAACAAGCAAGACATAGTGATACCAATACATTAAGGCATCTCACTGTAGAATCCCATTGCAATCAAAACATTGGCAGTGAGATCAAGCTTTGATCATAAGCCTCAAGGTAGTGCAGTTTTTTTTTTTCCTGTGGAAAAAAAAATATTTTTTTATTTCATTTAGTGTTTATTTTTAAATAAAAATTCAACTTTGATATGGTCTTACAAAAAAGTCCAGTTGAGATCGAATGGTGTTGGATACAAATTTGTACAGTCCTTCCGGATTTATCATTCAAAATTTGACACATTTAGGTTTAACACGTATTGACAAGGAATGAATCATGTTTTATATCCGTCAAGTCTACTTTTATTACAGTAAAGATTTTATTAAATGGCACCCATCCTAAAATGCAAGGGATAAAAATACTTAATATACAATATCTTACTGTTTGCATAGTGATTATAGAGGTTAAAGTAGAAATACATCTGTCGTTACTATGGGCTGTATGTGAGTGACACAGCAGTGTAGTGGTTTGAATTGCTTGTAGCGTTGAGGCCCTGGGCCCACTCTCTGAGTGGAGTTCGTATGTTCTCCCTGTGTTTGTGTGGGTTTCGTCCAGGTGCTCCAATTTCCTCCCACAGTCCAAAAGCCATACTGGTATGTTAATTGACTTCTGGCAAAAATTGTACTGTACTCTGATGTACTGTAAATGTGTTTCTGTGTGTTTACCATCAGATCGACTGATGTATCCTGCCTTGTGCCCATTGCACATTAATGGGATAGGCTCTGGCTCATCTGTGATCCTGAATGGGATAAAGAAGTTAAAAAAGTGTGGATGGATTATTATATGTAAATTAGTATATTCACAGCCGAAAAGTTGTGTTTTCTCTCTTCTCTTTTCACCATGGAATAAGTAAGTTATTATTTGTTCCTTTTTTTAATATATTGATGGATTAAAGAAATGCAACATTTTCTGGAATGAGAATACTGTAGTTATAGCTTATGTACTTTCACAAAAAGTTGTCAATTTGTTTTAAGCCCTCTGACCAGCAATACAGCTTGTGCTTTGACACTTCGCAATTTGCCAATCACACGAAAGCTCGTTAGGTGCACTTTTACCCAACGAGGTCCAGGTGGAACAATGTCTGATCAGACCACCTTTAAAAAGGCCTTATTTCAAAGCTTAGGTCACAGCAAGAAAAAGGCCAAATGCAGTCAGTTTTCTGTGCATTCCATAATGCCTCGAATGTCACCAGAAGCACGAGAGAGGGCCATTGGCATGCTACAGGCAGGCATGTCGTGCCAGCGTTGCCAAACACCATGGAGTAAGCCGCTCCACTGTGTCCCAACTGCAGAGAA